CCCTAAAAGATAGTTTTGATGGTACGTCTAGGGGGATTCGTGTGATTGATTCATGGCTCTTTGACCAAGATGCAGCGGTTCCTTTAGAGATGGTTGAGAAATTGCTAACTGATATCTAGAAAAGGTCCCTTGATATAAGGGGCCCTAGTAAGTTATCCAGCTGTTTATTGTTATCCTTCGGGGGTATAGCTTTCCAGAGTTTCCTCAGACGATGGTCTTCCATTACTTTGGCGATGATCTTCAGTTTCGTTCTCGGCTGGTTCTTCTTCTCCTCTACGCGACTTACGTACTAGTGTACTCAGAAAAAAATCGATGTTGTTTTGTTTTATACTTTTCAAATATATTTTGGTTTTTTTTGTTTTTTTTTTCTGTTTCTTCGTTTGTTTCATATAATTATTGGCTAACTCTTTAAACTTTACTCTGTACTTTTTGTTTTGTTTTCTTCTTAATTCTTCTGGTTTTTTGTTTTCCTTTTTTTAATTATATTATTAGTATACATATAAATAATTAAAAATATTACATTAAAATGTATTCGTATATCGTATAGAAGTTGCTGGTTGTTTTGTTGGATTTTATGTTTTAGTTTCTTTCTTTCTTAATTTTTGATTGCGTTTTTCTTCTCCATTTCAATTCGTCTCCTTTATAACATTTACTCTCATTTTACAATTTTGCTAAAAACTAAATAAAATTTCTTGTTTGTAAAAACAATAATAATTATTAAAAAAATGTATGCTCAAATAAGTTTAATATTTACTTTTCATATTTTATTTATTTTATATATTTTAAAAATAGCAAAAAGCAAAAAAAGCGCCTTTCTATCGATTTTTAAAACATATTTACGTATATTTTTTTGCATCATCTTTTCATCTTTAAGTTTATTTTTATGCTATTATTTTTACTTTTGTTATATTTTTATAAAATATCACCTAAAGCAATTACGTATTTCAGTTTCAGTATTTTTTTGTTTGTATTTTAAATTTATTTTTACAATGCAACAAAATTTTGCTTTGTTTTTTGTGTGTGTTGTATATGATTTTTTTGTTTTTGGTAGCAAAATATTTAATACAAAAATTAATAATGAAATGATTTCAACAAATATGTAAAAAGCTCACACAATAAAAATCATATCAGTTTTTTGCAACAACTATTGGTTGTTGGGGTTTTTTTTTAAACTAAAAAGCAGCGAATTATGCTAACAGAAATGGTTACATAATTACAGCAAGTTTTAAGTTTAATTTAAATTTCTTACATACAAATTTTTGTTTAGGGTTTTAGGTTTTTGGGGTTTGAGACAAAGTACAACAACTAATTATTTTTTTTTTTGTATTTCTGCAAATTTCTAACCTTTGCAAGAACATTTTCTTTTTGTAGTTTTGAAAAAATAGTACAAAAGCTTTACACGTTGTTGGTTTTTTTTTTTGTTTGTTTTTATATTTTTGTAGTTTAGTTAGTTGGCTATAATAAACCGCTGGGAATCGGCTCGACTATAGTCTAAGTATACAAATGACTGCCCATATAGCTGAGGAACTGCTCTCGACTGAGGCAGCCCGATTTAAGTACATTTCTGTGGTTTTTGTTGTTGGTTTAGTAGTCTAGAACTCAAAATAGTAGTAGAAATTAGCAGAAGAAAGTGTTTGGTTGGTTTTGGTAGCTAGAAGAAGAATAGCTGCTAAGGTTTTTCCCTTTTCTAGATTGAGTTTGGATTCCATTAAATTTCCAGTTTGCAAGTTTAGTTTAGCTTAGCATACAACTCCTAAGTTGAGGGGTTCAAGGGTTCAGGGGCTCAGAGGTCTGACTAAGAACTATATAACGTACGCTATAGTATACAATGTGGGGGCGGGGGATGGAGCGAGGGGTCTCTAAGTATCTCCGCTGAGCACCAGAAGCTGCCGCTCACTAATTCAATTCATTAAATTACATTTAGCTTTCCTCTCTTTTCATTACATTTATATAATAATAATAGTATCGCGTAGTTTTCTTCTTTTTCTTATCTTTCTTCTTCTTTTTTTGCTTTAGTAAATGCTTAAAGTTTGTTTGCTGTTGCTGTCGTAGTTTGTTTGATTTACGTATATCAATTGTTCTCGAAAGTGTCTCGCACGCTTCCTTGGCTCATTTAAAATGTCGTTCGTATAGGTGCGTTGCAATCCTCAATTAATTAAATTAACTTTAAGTTTTTATTTTGTTTTTGTATTTTTTTTTTGTTGTAATAAACAATAATGTTTTATTCGTATACTTTGCATTTGAACTCAGGTTGGGGTTTCTTTTCTGGTATCTCTTTTTACGTATATGCGTTGCATGATGAGAGTTGAACAAAAAAGATCAACGAAAATGTTTTTTATTTTATTTTGTTTTGTGTTTTTTTTTTCTTTCTTTTTTTTTTGCAAGTTCTCTTTAGTGTTGTAAAACACCAAAGGAAAAAGGACGTATTATTTTGAAAAATCGTATACACGTTGGCTAAGGTGAAATATTCCCAAAACACAAATAAATTGAAACAATATAATAACTAAGCAAAGAAAATATATGGATACAAATTTCTAGGAATTTACTATTCTCTTAGCGTTTGTTCTCTTAATCCCAAGTTTTGTTTTTAGATCTGTAAGCAGCAGCCTAGACTTGATTTTTAGTTACAAACTACATGGCTAGAGTTTATCTTTATATTATATAGTTTTCTTTATATATATATATAGAGAACTTTTTGGGGTTCGAATGGGGGAGAGAGGGTTGGATCTGAGGTCTGGACTAGAAGTCCGCCTCGTGCTTGATGCGATAGCTGGCATAGGTCTCCTCCAGCGGTGAAAAATCTTGGGTGCTGGGCTGTGATCAAGTTCCAAATGATTGGCACAGATACATACATATATACAACAGATATATGCATATAGATAGACAGAGAGAGATAGAGAGATTTTAGAGAAATTATAGGATAGGACCAAAGGGACTCTTGAGTCTGGAGTCTAGAGTCTGGTTCTTGTCTGTGTGTGTTTGTGGGCTATGTCAGTGTCGTTGTTGTTGCTGTTGTTTTTCTGGTGGTTCTTTGAGAGGGGACGAGGGGCTGTCAATTATTTACAAAATTACAAACTCAAAGACCGATAACATTCATCGAACTGAAGCTATCGATCCCACTGGCTGACTGTACCCAAAGCAGCTCAGAGTTAAAGAGTCGGGGCCAGCTTTCGTATATCATACATATCATATCATATCAGTATACATATATAAATAAATATATATTTATACATATATATGTATGCATATGTGTGGGGCGTATATATATGTATATATATATTTATATATAGTTTCTATATAGAGTTATGTGCATATGTAAAATTGTTAAAAATTGGTTAGTTTTTGGGGTTAGTAAACTTTTTCTGATAATATATATAGTAGGTTTCATTACTTGAATTTTTGTTTCTTGTGGTTCGTGTGTTAAGTAAAGAAAACAATAATAAAAGTAGTTGGTTAATGGTGTGTGAGTGTTGGGTTTGTTAATAATATTTAATAATATATTGGCGAGCTATATGGGCCTCTTGCAAAAACGAAGTTCTGGAACATTTTCTTGTCTTGTAATTTAGTTCTCATTCTTTTTTTTAGTTTTAACTTGATTTCTTTCTCATTCTTTCAATTCATTTCATATTCTTTTTTTCTTTCTTTCTTTCTAGTTGTTGGTACTTTTTACAAATTAAGCGAAATTGTTTGTTTGTTTCTCTAATTATTGTTGCTCAGTTGCTTTAGTTCTTGTAGTTTTGTTGTTGTTGTTGTTTTGTAGTTGTTACTCTATATTCATTTACAATCTGCTTGGTTGAGATGGACAGTGTGTGTTGGTTGTGAGAGAAAGTGAGATAGACTGACACAGCTGGGCATGCGGGCGCACAGTCGTCGTCGCATTGTTTTTAAGACTGACTTCCTTTAGTGTGGCCTTGCATTCACAGCTGTTTCGGAACTTAAATTTATGGCCTGTACTGTACACAGAGGAGAGCAAACGAAGTCCAGCAGTAGCAGTGTTGTCAGCAGTAGCGCACATAGCAGCAGCATCAATCGTCCATCAATCGGGTAGTATAAGTGGTACTATAACTGTTCTCTGTCTGTTCAGTTCGGCGCAGTTCGGTTCGATTCGGTTGGGTTCTGTTGGTTGTTGTTGTTCGGGTCAGTTCGGTTTGTGGTAGGAGGGCCGAAGCCGCTTGGAAGCTCGTTTGTCGCTTTGTCGCTTGTTTTTTGTTCTTGTTGCGGTACTTTGCTGTCTCGTGTTATCGTGGTCTCTGTCTGGCTGCGGCTGCTGCTGCTGCTGCTGGCATCCTGGCCAGCCATCGCTGTCGCTAATGCTGCTTATGCTGCTGCTGCTGCTGTTGTGGCTGGCTGCTGCTGGCTGCTGCTTCCGCTAGATGTTCCTTTGCTCTCCCTTTCGCTTCTATGGATAATATATATTTTTTTTGTTGTTTTTTCTGTTAAGTTTGCTTTTGTTTTTGCATTCGCTTTGCTTTTGCTTTGCTTCTGCTTTTGCTTCTGCTTTTGCTCTTGACTAATTTACAATGTGTGTGTGTGTGTTTGTTCTTGACGTACAACTTCTTCTGCTTTTGAATTTTTGGATTTGAATTCATCAATATTAATATTCTGATTATTATTGGGTTTTTTTTTTAATTTAATTTAGTTAATGCTTCGCTGCGTGTCGCTGTTGCGCGCTGCTGTTGTTCTGCTGCTGCTGTGGCTGCAACAGGTGAATTAATGTGACTTAATTTCCTTATGCAGGTGGTAGCAACATCAGCATCAGCATCAGCTCCGCGTGGCATGGCATCTCTTGCATCATTTGGATGATACACGTGGCTTTAGTCATTGATTGATTGATTTATTGATCATTATCATTATTATTATTGATTCATTTAATCCCAGGGCATTGTGAGCACCCGCTTCGTTTTTGCAAGAAGGTCGTTATCGTACTACGAACATGGGTGCACCACCGCATTGTAGCTCGCCAATATAGGACCATGTGCTCCCGCGAAGGGGGTACTCACAACGTCTGGTGTACTAGCTCCATCGGTGTGCGATGTGGAGTCGGCGTTACTCCGTCCCTCACCATTTGCCGAACCGAGTTCTGGTGGTTTGGTGGTGTCCCGTTCGTCGATCACTAAATCTATTGGCATTTTACCCTTTAAACACGATATATAGCGGTGACAGAAGTTGTCGCACAGTTCGTGTACCTGCAACGAGACATTCCCGCGATCATTTCAGAGCACAGAGAACAGAGCAGAGGAAGAGAGAGAAAGGAGAGAGAGAGAGAGAGAGCATCAGTATGGGTTCTTTTGTTTTTTGGAGTACGATTACTCCAAAATTTCACTTATCATCTAATAATGGGATCGGGTTGGGGTTGGGGTTCGGTTGTGCAAGGGGGGTGCTGAAACTGTATAGATATATATAATGGGAAGGGGAATAATGGTGGATACATAGATCATCTACATACATTATCGTACATACTTAAACTAAGCTTAAACATTGCAATACCTTCACAGAAAGAGAGACAGAGACAGAAAGAGAGGGAGAGATGGGCAGACAGCTGCCACACTTAGCGCCATTGCATTCTTGCCACGCCAAGCGGCAGCGGCTGCGGCCTAAAACCTGCTTCCTCCATCGCCTTGCAAATGGCATGCAAATTGCTTTTGATGCGTTGCCCCAGACACAGACCCCAGACCCAGAGCCAGAGCCCAGAACCAGAACCAGGCAAATGGTTGATGATGGCACTCAAAAATGGCCGTAGACAACAGCTAACCTAAACCTGGCTCAGAGCTTGACTCTCTGACTCTGGTTCAGGCCGTATAAATATGCATAGAGACTCTCGGACCCGAAAAAGAAACGGCAACAGCAACAGAAACAACAACAGCAACAAAATAATGCATTGGCCAAAAAGGAAGTGCTGGGGCAGCCAGGCTTAGCCGCAGGGCACACTTTTAAGCATCCAAGCAGCGCAACAGCACAACAGCAACATGGGGCAGCACGTGCAACATTCACATTAGCAACATGGAGACGCACTCGCCGCTCAGAGATAGCCGTCCAGGGAGAAGATCACTGGCGTCAGACCAGGGTAGACTCAGAGCCACAGTCACAGCCACAGCCAGAGACGGAGCCAGGCCAAGACCAGTGCCAGGGCCAACAAAATGCGTTTTTAAAACCCTGTTGTTGCTGCTGCTTCTCTTGTGTCTGTGGCAGTGATGTTGCGCAGGCAGCGTCTCTGCCTCGGTGTGTGTGATAAAACAAATGCGATAAGGCCAAAGTGAGTGTGAGTCAGGCAGGCAGGCAGGCAGGCAGGCAGGCAAAGGCAAGCAGGCAGGCAACGGCGTTGGCGGAGGGGGAGCCGCCAGCCGAGGCACATATGCAAATATGCAACAAAGAGAGGAATGCAGCCGCCGCCACGGCTAAAAAGAAATTAATTGCACTGGGCTATGGTAGCAGACAACAACAGCAGCAGCAGCACCAGCAGCAACAGCAGCAACAACAGGGTGCTCCATTTAGCCGGGGCCAGGCATTTAATTTACGAAAAAGTGCGCGTTGCTTATGCAAATTGTTTGCTGCTGTTGCTGCTGCTGCTGCTTGATGCTTCTTTTCTTCATTTTTGTGGATCGTTTTTTGGCCTGCGAAAGCTGCAACAGTGGCTGGCTGGCTGGCTGGCTGGCGGGCTGGCTTTCTGGCTCTGTGGCTGCTGCTGCCACTATTAACTTGTTGCCCATTGCCCAAACTTGTCAAACTCGTTTGCAGGCTGCTGCTTTCAATGTTATTGTCACCAAAAAAAAATACAAAAAGATGATGATAAAAAAAGCAACGGCCTGCAACTGGTTTATGACAGGACAATGTCAAATTTGTCGCTGTTGCTGATAAGCAGCAGCAGCTCTCCACAGCAGCAACAGCATGTTGCAGGCAACATATCAGTGTCCCAGTCCGAGTCCGAATTCGAGTCGAAGTCCAAGTTTTATGATTGTGTTTGCTGTGTGGTGTAGCTGTCAAAGTGACCATAACAATATCCATAAAGCTTGCAATTAGCACGCCAGCAACATGTTGCTGCCACTGCAGCACTGCTGCACTGCAACTGCACACATGCAACATGAGCACACACTAAATTGATATGTTGGAGAAGAGGGCCCTTCGGAGACTGCCAGACTGGCCGAGACGATGCTGGGACGCTGATAACTTTTGATTAATTTGTCAGCATTGTATGTGACATTTTCGAACGGCTCATTGCGATATTTATGACTCGCGGGGCCCCCATGATGTGGCTGCTGTTGCACATCGCTGCTGCACATTGGGTGGGCCCCCAAGCAGCAGCAAGAGGGAGACGGACGGACAGTCAAAGCAGAGAGGGCGTTGCTTGTAAATGCCACACACTCGTTTGTACATCCTGTTAAGCACAGCTTTTCACAGCAGCAGCGTACTCATTCTGCCCCCTTTCTGCAGCAGCTGCCTGTTCTGGCCGGACGGGCCGGGACGGGACGACCGTCAACTAAGTGCAGAATCCAATCTAATCGCAATGCAAATCGCTCCAATCTGCGCAGTGGTAATTCTCGATTTCCGCTCATAGATAGCATTAAATATTCCCCCCCAACCAGATTCAGATTCAGAGTCACACGCAAGCCACAGCAACAGCCTCCCCACACACACGAGTCGCCGTCTAACAAGTTCCAGCTCGGACTCGGTTCTCTTTCTTCTTGCCACTGACATTTAAATGAAATGTAATTAAAAATAATTTGAAATAAATAAATGTTTGACAGCGGGGGGGGCATTGAGATGAAGTCGAGTAGATCTGCGGCGCTGTGCTGTCTTCGCAAATTTATTTCAAATCGCTGTAACTTATTTCTACATATTTTATCCGTGTTCATAATCCGCTTCTAGCATTATCTTCTGTCTCGATTTCTATATATTGTCAGGGAATATTTTTGCCAGGTTTTCCTAGCATTCATCGCATCATTTAAAATCTTCAAAAAATCTCCCCCAATCTGCTGTGTATCCCTTAGCTTGCATCATCATCATCATCGGCTGGCTAAGGCTAACCAAAAGTATACAGCTGTCGATGTCGATGTCGTTGTTGTTTCTGTTGCTGGTTGCTGGTTCTGGTGCTTGTGCTGTTGTATAGCGATCCCAAAGCGATCTGGCCAAGCCATCAAAACAAGGCCCCCAAATCGGTGTTGTTGCTGTTGTAGTTGCCCCCATGCCGGCATTACCCCAGCCGATTCTCTGGTGCTGTTGGTGCTGCTGCTGCTTACCCCCTGCCGGAGAAGCGTGTGCAACTGACCCAACGTGTTGTCTCGACAGTCTCTCGTTCTGTCTCAGTGTCTCTCTGTCTATCAGTCCGTTTGTCTCTCTGTCCATCAGTCTGTTTGTCTCTCTGTCTATCAGTCTGTTCGTCTCTCTGTCTGTTTGTCTGTTTGTCAATTGCAATGCCTGCCTGCCTAATGCTGTATTTTTTTTGCTGTGTGATGTTTTTTTGTTGTTTTGTTTTTTTTTTTTGCATGTGACTCTGTGACGAGAATTGTCCGTGTGCTGGGGATCTGGGGGAGCCGTAGAGCTGGAGCTGGTGCTGGTGCTGGAGCTGGAGCTGGTGCTGGTGCTGGAGCTGGGCCTGGAACTCTCGAGCTCCAAGCTGGGGCTTCGACTCTGGGACTGAGACTGGGACTGAGGCAAACCAGTTTTGACAGACACAAGTCTTGAAACGTCTTTTTAACTGATTCTGTTTTGTTGGTGGTGTTGTTGTTGTTGTTGCTGTAGCAGCGGCAACAAATATGCACAGATATACATATATATAAAATGTTCAGATCTACAGATATATATTCCATACACACACACATACATATATAGATGTAGTATTTCAGTTTTCGTTTCGTTGTTGTTTTTTTTTTTGCAAGTCAGCCCGCACATTTTATTTAAGTATATTTTGTATTTCTTTTCATTTATTTCGGTATTGTTTTTTTTGTTTTTGTTGTTTTTGTTGTGTGTAGTTTTTTGTTGTATTTTTTTGTTTTGTGTTTTTTTTTATATTTATTTTATACACCAAAAATCGACCGCTGCATTTTGTTGGCTGCATATAAATGAATGTGTTGTGTGTGTGTGCTTCTTTTTTTATGTACAAGTTGCTACAGTTCTTTGTGCTGATTGTTGCAGTTGTTGGAGCTGCAATTGTTGCGTTGTTGCTGTTGTTGTTGCTTTCATATGTGTCGCAAGCTGTGTGAGTGACAAATGACAAAACAAAAACCTGTCGTGGACTCTCCGGCACTGCTGCTGCTGGTGCTGGTGGTGCTGCTGCTGCTGCTGTGCTGTTGATAAAGATCTTGACTCTTTCTGGGTCCCCGTGTGGCTGTCTCTTACCCACCTTACAGGGTGCTGCCTGCAACAAATTGCAGCTGGCTGACTGACAGACAGACACACAGACAGACAGAGTGACTGATCAACTGACTGACTGACTGATGAACTGATGAACTGATGATCAACTCACTTTCCTTAGTGACTTAGTCTTACTGCTCCAGTTTTGGCCTGGCTTAGAAAGCGTTTTTTTGGTAATTAACATTGTCCATAGCACTAATTGCAGATTGATTGACTTCTGCGACTGTATCTGCCAGCTACTCGCACGTTTGATTCGTTCGCCTGTCATTAGCCCCATGGCCCACTCTCCATGGAGACAGCAGCATTCCACAGCAAATGACTCGGATATACGAGTCCCCCCCGACCATAACTTCTCTATACTTATTCTCCGAGCGTTTTGTCTTGTTTGGTTTTGGTTCAGCTTTTCTGTTCTTTTTTTGTTGTTGTTGTTTGTATTTTGTAGAATGTTTTGCATAATTTCTTACTTAAGACTTAATTGAAAAAGAGTGAAGAGAGACTTGGAAGCTCTTCGGACGGGTTTTTGGCCTGTTCTACTCCGCTCTGGCCGGGCTTAACTACGGCTCAGCCTCGACTTCGCAGCTTCGACTGGGAGTCCGACTTTGGGCTTCAGTTTCGGCTTCGGCTTCGGTTTAGGTTTAGGTTCGCGTTCCACGCTTCGTTGCGCATTTGCCTAATTAATTTTCTCGACACAGCACCAGCGACAGAAGGGACGGAAGGGCGGGATGGGGTGGGCAGATCGGGCAGCATTAATTACGACCCACGTTTGAGGAACAACTTCCATTAAGCAGCAGAATGAGAGACACGCACCCGAGTGTCTGAGTCGCTTGCATATTATTTGAAATTAAAACAAATTAGGCAACCTGTAATTTTTCCATTTAGACTATAAAGTGTCTAATAATCAAGTAGGTGTTGTAGGAGAACAGCCCACCCCTCAAACGAAAATGAAATGAAAACATTCAGTTGGGAGACTAATTTATGTGGCTCTCTTATCAGGACTGAAACATCTTGGAATTCTATGAGGCACAGTCTGTAGGCATGTAGGGGAGAGGATAGCTGGGATGGGTGGGATGCCGTCATCACACCTCATGTATCAACAACAAAAGGGAAGCCGAAAACTGAATGCATTCCATTGTTCCATTGCAATTGCAGCAGAAAACATAAAAATGGAAGGGAAATTCTTTTCTTTTATCTTACGCATGAAACTGTAACCAGCGACAAACAACTACAACAAACACCTGCCGCTTTGTCGCCTTGCCGCTTTGCCGCTGGCCAAATATTTGTTGCCACAAAAAACTAATCCCCGGCACACATCCTGCTCCAGCGACGAATCGGCTACAACTATTCCACTTTGATTGGCAATTAATTCAATTCAATTTTCAGCTGCATTTTTGTTTCTGACTTTAATTTAGACATACTGCAAGTGTATTAGACAGGCCAAAGATATATGGTCGCCTGCTGTGGGACCGAATCCGAACCCGACCGCTCCCCACCCCTCCCCTCCCTTTGCGAGTATGCCCCTCAATGAAATGTCAACACAAATGTTGGTAATTGAAATGCGCGCCCGCTGGAAACTATTTTAACTCCATTTTTTTTTCTTTTGCTGTTTTGCTTTTTTGCTGTTTCTGTTTTGGCCTGGTTTATTTATTAGCCTGGTCGGGGGGGTTCGTGTCTGATCTGTGTCTGGTCCTGTTCCCGGTCCTGCTCTCAGTGTGTGTCCGCGACATTTGGGTGGTCTTTTTGGGGCGTTGATAAATGATTGGAGCCGACTCGGCCCGTCCCAGCCTATGCCTGTCATTTTTGCCGTTAATTGCAATGACTAAACAAATGTATTTTCTGGTTCTTCGCAAGATGATTTCGCCTAAATGTTTTCCAGTATCTCCAAGGTATTGCAATGTTTAGGCCTTAGCTGGTAATTGATTCAAGAAATTCAAAATGTTTTACTTACTTTTTCTAATTCTAAAAGGTGAAACCGAAGTACTTGTATTGCTTGCACCATCTGCAAAAAGGAAAGGGAAAGAAAATATTAATATACATATATATAATCGTGTAATAATCGTGAAAATACAAGCGGATTTACTATTAAACAAACACACACTCAATCACGCATACACTTCATTCCAGAGAGCCCTAAAAGTCTTTGGCTTTGTTGTTTGCTCATTTCTCTTAGGGTTTTGCTGGACCCCACCGCTAATTAAAACATCAGTTTGACATTTGACATTTTTACGATGCTGCTAACTGCTCAACTGCTGCTGTGTGGCCTGCCCTGCCCCGGCCTGGCATTCAGCTTCAGTTCTGTTCATGTTGGTGGTGCCTTGTGGTGGTTCTGGTGGTTCTGGTGGGGCTGGCTACTGCTACAACTGACAAGAATTTCATTTAACCGCGCTGCTGCATGCTGCCTGCATGCTGCCTGCTGGTGCAGAGCTCTTCTAGCGCAGCAGAAGACAAGACATGCTATAAACATTTTTATAGCAGGCGACCTCAACTGCTTGGGTTTTTTTCTGGCTCTTCCTTTAAGTAAGTGTTACTAAATGCACTTTTAAATGTTCAAACACGATAGCGGATGGTTGATGGTGGATGGTGCTCGGAGGAGAAGGAACAAAATTGGAGGCAAAGAAGGCAAAACCCAACCACAGAGTGGCATGCCAAAATGATTTATGGCCAAAGTACGCAGACGCAAGCGAGGCACACATGGCCATGGCCAAGACGAGAGATCCGCCAGACGCAGTCGCAGTCGCAGACTGGCCCAGTAGGTGCAGTGGGGTGCGGTGGGGTGGTGCTCATTCGGGGGATTGGGTGGCCTGGGCAGTCAGTGATTTTGTACTACAACTAATAAACTAATCTGCAAGTGCATAAAATTAGGGCCACCAGAGATCGCTCTCTCCCTCTCTCTCCGTGCTCCGTCTGTGTGTCGCTGCAGAGGCATCTTTGTGTGGCAGATGCAACTTCTGCTGCCCTGAGTGAGTGGGTAAGTGAGTGACACATTTACGACTGCCAAGAGTCGTTCGAGTGCGGTGTGGTGGCAATTAAAATTAGTTTTGCCCATAATCTCTTTATATGTGTGCCAGCCCAGCCCCAGATATGTCCGAGACGGGACCAGGCCAGGCCAGGCCAGGCCAGGCCAGGCCAGAGCAACTGTTCTCCATCCGCATTTCGCATCTTCTTCAGTTAGCTGCGCTGCTGCTACCCAATTGCATGGCTCGTTTTGCACTTTTTGCACGCGGCATTTCCGTCTTGATTTACATGCCAACCGAAATGATCTCTCGCTCCCCCCCCCCTATTCCACTCTGCCTCTGCCACTGCCTTTGACTCTGACTCATGGTGGGGCCATTAAAATTGTTATGACTCGGATGCCAGCGGAATGCCAGGCAGAAAACTGAGCAAGAAAGGGAGAGACAGAGAGATAGAGAGACACAGCGAGGGAGAAGATGAGATGATCTGATGGCTTTTTGCCTGGATAATGCCCCTTTGCGCTGCGCATAAAAATTGAACCATTTATTCCATAACTGGATTAAGCAAACATCTTTTGGTATCTGCACAACTTTAACACGATTTTACATCTGGAATTTATAATCTTTGGAACTGTTTGCGTTTCGATCTTACAGCACTTTCAGGGTAGGTGTCCCTAAAAGGAGTTACTCCAAATAATAATATTGGCTATGTATATTTATGGATTAAATATAATTTGGGAGCCCGTGCCTCTGCTCGTTCTTCTACGACCATTTCCTCTAGCAGATTATCATACTACATATACTCCCTCCCATGTACTGGGTGTCCTATAAAAATGATCATGATCAACACCACCAAGGTTGCCTTGGTCTTTTGGTTCTTTTGCTGCTGGCATTTGCCTTTGCCTTTGCCTTGGACGGAACTGTTGTTAATCTTCTCCTGCACCCCACAAGGCAGCGCTCCACTCCACGCCACGCCATGCCACGCCAGAGATATCGCCACTACCCCGCAGCAATAAAGAGATCCGAATGCATATTCCACAATCCTAAAGCCGTTGGCTTCATTGTTGTTGCCGTTGCTGCTGCTGCTGGTGCACACCCAAGGCTGCTGGCTGCCCCAAGCTGCAGGCAGGCAGGCAGCCCATTTAGAGAGTGCAAAAATGTCATATGCATCATTAAATCGTTCTGCTTCATATTGTCGTTCGCTTGGGTTCGTACGCGCAGTCACAGAGAGAGAGCAGAAAATAGAGACAGATACAGAGAGAGCGAGAAAGAGAGCAAGAGCAGTGAGAACGAAAAGTATGGCAACGCTGTCCGATAAAATGTCTAAACAACTCAGTTTGTCCCGCTCCAACAACAAAAACAACAAAGCTGCTTGCTGCTTGCTGCTGGCTGCTTTGATGAACAAATGCTCATAAATTGTTCGTTCGTTGATGCTTTGCTCTTTTGCTAAATTCACTGTGATTTATTCTAAATAAAAGAAAATTATTCAATTGTCGTCGTTGTTTTGGGTCAAGGTGATGCAGACTACAACACACACACAGATACACCCCCCACAAACACAAATGCAAAATGTATAGCCATGATCTTTGGCATCGCAACATGCTGCCAGATCAGAGGCAACATAGTTGATTTTGCTTTTGTTTTTGTGCTTCATTTCATTTGTTTTGTTTTTTTTTTTTTTTACTTACCAGTGAGTCGACTTCGGGATCTGCGGTATAGTAGGGTTTCTGTGATCTTATCTGCAAGCAGAGAACGAGAGAAGAATTAAAGTTAGTGAGTGTGAAGAAAAATCGCAATATGGACAGCAGGAAGGAACCGCTCCATCCATTCCAAACAGCTGTCCTGATCCAAAACATAATCATCATCTACGAACGGCGGAGACACGGGTATTGCTATTATTTTATGATGGTCTTTTGGAGAGCCGATAAGGGAGGGCTCCGCCTGTCCCGGCAAAATATTGTACACATTATAAAACTACAACAACCATGAGCAAATCGGTTCCAAAACAGACCATGGGAAACGAAACATTTGCTCATCCATTGGGGCAACACCACACAGATCCAGTGCCGGTGCCAGTGCCAGTGTCAGACCCCGAAGAGGTGACGGTGACTCGCCTGTGACCATAAAAGAGATTCTCGTTTTTATAGCCACCCCGAGAGACCGAGCCGGAGCCGGAGCCCAAGCCCAAGCCCCCGGCCAAAGCCGTGCCAAAGCAAAAAAAAAAACAACAAAAACGCTGCATAGATATAAAAATAAACCACACACTTAGATAAAAATCACAAAAGCAATATCTGACTAGATAAAATACCACACAGACAGACAGACAGACAGACGGAGCCAAGCAGAGATGGAGACCCAAACTGAACCCAGCGACGACAGCAGAAGGTCATCATCAACGGCATCGCATCGCAGCAGCTGAAAATGCTGCGCGAATTATTTGAAATTTCTTTGTTGCTGATATTTTGTTTGGCTCTCACGGAACTGCCACACCAGGCGCAGCCGTAATAAATGGCCGAGACAAGCTCGGCTCTTCACAGATAACCAACCGGCAGATCAGATTGGACACACACACACACACCCCCGCTGCGATCTTATATAACGGGCGAGAGGCGACCTTGTCCAAATGTGTGGCATGTTTGCATGGAACCGAACGACCAACCGACCACCCAGAAACACATGCAACAAGGTTGCACTGATGGCGGGAGGTCCACAGCCACAACGGAGTTGATCTTGTCCCTGGATTATGGACGTGACCCTGAACCGAGTCGGAGTTATTATTGATCTGCCATTCCTGCTATGCAAAACCATCTATGAGATTTATTCTCAAGAGATTTTGAGTCCCTATCAAATGAAGATCAGTTGAAGATCGGCCAGTCTTCAATTTCAGCTGAGATTGAGGATAATGAATGAAGTTAAAATAAACCTAATAAAATATGTAAAGTCTAAGCAATAAATGACTGGTTCCCCACTGATCTAAGCCTATCTTGGTACACATTAAAATTCCAATAGAAAGTCAACGCATGCCCTACTGATCTCCGACAGTTAAACGTGCAATCTTCTGCAGCAGCAGCAGCCCACACTCAGATACTGCTCGAAGATACAGATACAAAGGCACCCATGTCAGAGCTTACTTGCCAGTCGTCCAAGGCAGTAACGGCAATTTGAAATCAACTGAGGCATGTGCAGCTAATAATTACACACTTTGCACACAGACAGACTGACAGGCAGGCAAAGCGAGTACAAGTAGAAGAGTACCAGAGTACGAGTAGATCGCTGGGGAGTTGGTGGAAGTGGTAGAGTGGTAGACTTAGAGACGGACGTACCCACAGAGTATATAGTATCTAGATATGTGGGCACTTCCATCCGTACCGTACAATGGCTGTATGAGAAAAACGCCCCATTGTGCGGCTGCAACAACAGCAACCATAATGCGAGTAACAACACACAAAGCACAGCCATTGAAGACGACGACGACGATGATGACGATCAAGGAGGAGGTCGACAGCGACGGAGCAGGAGACGAGCGGAGTGGAGGAGGTTGCGTGTTGGGTATTTTGCAAAAGTTGTTGCCTGTTGGCTTTAATGTTGCATTTTCAAATGCTGGTTGGTGGATGGTGCTGGTGTTGCACACACACACACACAGACACTGTGGCACACAGAGAGAGAGAGCGAGAGAGAGAGGGACAGATGGGAGAACTTGCCAAACTGGTTTCGCCATGCAGGTCTCTGTGCTGGCCCGGAGTCGCGGCCTGGCCAGGTCGCGCTTTAGCTTTAACTGATATGAAAAGCAGTCAGCCAGAAGTTGGCCGGGAATATTGCACACGCACTTTACTGGATGCGCCTCAAAATGGCTGCCCCCGAAAAAACCTTGAGAAGTAATATCTCTCCAAATCCTGCAAGTATCGCTCTCTTTAAGAGCGCGCGAGAATGTTTTTAAAAATATATAAATCATGCGACCAACTAGTAAAATGCACAGCATGAGACAAGTCTATAAATACCCTCCCGGACAGCAGTTGGGGCGTGAAAATGGGAATGGAAATGCGAATGGAAATGGAAATGCTTTTCTCCCTTTCTTTCCATCTTTCTCTGATGTGTGCGCGAGTTCCCTGACAATTTTGTCAACATGCAGCAGTGCGTGGGCGTCTCTTGCAGCTGACAATTTCATATTTATAGTTAAAGAAATACACACACACACACACACGCACACGCAGACATTTCCGTATAAATAAATATAGTCTAGTCCCGTTACTCTATGGCCAGTCTTATTTGGGATCTCCAATCTCATATTGAGTGTGCGGAAAGCCCCCAAAAACAAATCGCCAGCAACGTCACGCGCCCCAGACGAGCCACCGATTGGGACCGCGAACCCCCCTTTTCTAATCAGTTTCATATGAGCCGCTCATAAATTTATATTTCTTTTTTTTTGTTTTCTGCCCCGCTGTTCTTTTTATTTTGTAGTTGCCTCTGTTTCGTTTTTTTTTTTTTTTTTTGCAATCCCCCATTGTCGAGGCGAAAAGAAATCACTACTGTTTAGATACTGCTCTTCAGAACACTTTTATGATGCCAATAAATGCAATTATACAACACAAAAATGGTTTACAATGTCAGCGGCAGGCAACTGCTGGCGGTTGCCGGTGGCGGTGACAGCGACGGCGATCGACAGACGTCTGTCTCCAAATCGGTGGCCCGAAAGATACAAAAATAAAACACCAAACTGGCCCGCGTAGGTGGTCATAAATTTCCCCCCTCGAATGTGTGTGATTATGCGGGGGAAATTTTGAAATCAATTCCGCTTCATCAAACTGCACAGAAACGCCACGTGCTATCTCATCCAGCCATCATAAAAGAGCTCGACTATATATACATTATTAATATATGTAGATATATATATAGGGAACTTGGTCCAACAAATTATGATTCAATCAAAATTCTCTTGCCACAATTAACGAAACATGAGACACGGCTGTGGGGGGGCGGGTAGGTCGAAACCAAAACTATGCCACAAAATCTGGGTTCATAAAGCAAGAAATACGCATACCCATTTTTCTTTAGTTTGTTTTAGCTAGACGCTATTTTTTTATAGTGCCAATACAGCTAGCTAGGAGGAATTTTATAGCCCCGCGACCTGGCGTTGTGTGTTGGCCATAAAATCATCCAGAGACCTGGGCCTGTGACTGGGCCTATGCCTGGGTGGGTGAGTGAGGAGATAGGCCATAGACCAGGTCTACACCCAACAGTAGCAGCAGCAGCAACAGCAACAGCAGCAGCAGAAGTGTGTGGTGTGTGGCGTGTGATGGTGGAAGGCACTTGAGTAATGTGGCCATAAAGCCCAGTAACAACCCCCAACCCCAGTAGTCAGTCCCCAGTCTCTGTACCAGTCCCAGTACGGGGACCATAAAACAATTTATGCACTACTATAGCCCGACTTTTGGAATCAGCGCTGGCAGCAGCACAGTAGCCAGCGTTGTTGTTGACGTCGTCGACATTGTCGATCGCCGTTGAGCCTTTGCCCACTTGAGAAAAGAGTGCAGTGATAACAGTGATAACAGCGCGGCCCAAAGGCAACAGCAACAACAAAAGAGATTCGCCAGCAGTAAAGGAAGATATAACAAAGAAGGAAACTGAAAGGGCAGTGTGAAAAAATTATCAAAATAGAATTTAAAAATTATAAAAATTTCAATTTGGAACTTGTACATGCCACTGGCACACTCTTCCATCTCTTATTAGTTGCTCTAAGGGACAGCGGGAGGCATGAAGGCGCCTAAATTGCAGCACGTAGCCACATTATGTATATTATTTGAATTTTTCGTGCCACGGCGCCAGCCTCATGCGGGTCCCCCACTCCCCAACCCAACCCAACCCAGCCACACCAAGCAACTAACATTATAAACAAACACAAATACAAACAAAATATATTTGAGAGCGTGCACGAGGGAGAGATAGAGAGAGAGAGAGTCAGTTGGAATTTTATCAAAATTTATATCTCACTTGGACAAACAATCTCTCGCGCCCGCTCGTTCCCCATCGCTCATCTCTTTTAAAATATATCTAAAGATAGATTTGAATGAACCCCGAAAAGCAGTTAGATGTTTTGTGGTATATTCTGCAGTGATCTATCATTTAGTGGAGACCCAGACAATGTTGCTGTGGTCACCTGGCGATGATGAAGAACAACAAACAGCGTCATGGAAATCTCTGCTCATTCACTGCGAAATTGCACTTGGGCTTAAGGTGAAACCAAAAACCGAACCGAACAGCGCCAAAAGCCTATCGAATTTCTCACACCTACACAATGGGGGAATGGACTCACGGTTAGGTACCTAAAAGCTTGCACAATGCCCCAAAACAGGGACGACGCACCAACCAAAAAGGGGAGTGGGGGGTTGGATTGGATATTGTAACAACTCAATTGATGGCCTGGCTTGCATTGAGTGCGAGTGCGAAAGAGAGAGAGAAAACATCTTGGGAATTTTATGGCTTACATTTTGAGCACCCCTCAACACCCTGTCATCCTTCGACGCCACTGTGCCACTGTAACCCACAAAAAACGCATAAAAAAATATACCAAAACTGAACAATAATAATTTTGTTGTAATACAAAACCAAACTTTATTTGCCTAGCTGATGACGATGATGGCACCAACAACGCTCATGATGATGATAATAATGATAATAGCGATGATGATGATGATGTTGTTGGACTTGTTTAATGTTGTTGATTACTTTTACCCGACATTAA